GATAAGAACAGGGGGGGAAAAAAAGGCAGGCAGAGGGGTTCAGCTCATTCTTGACTTTTGAAAAGGAGCATCACACAGAAGGAACAGGACAAAGGGAGTTGTTGTGAGGGAAGGATCCTAAAGAAGCTGCTTCCTCCTTCCTGGCCCAGACCTTCCTGTGTGTCATCAAGGGATGGAAATCAGAATATGTCTTGGAACTCTTGGAAAAGAGAAAAGCCAGGTCTGATAGGGGCCTAAATTGAAATAAGTTTCCCAAGAGATGTTCTTTCATTCAGTTTGTTAAGCAGATATCAATAGCCATGCTCTCTCACACCTCAGATTTTCCACTTCTTGAACATCTACACTCATTACCTGTCCTGAAACAATAGCCCACCCAGAATTTATATTTTCCTGAGTATTTTAAGTTATTTTGCACTTATTTAATCTTCTCTCCATTGTGGGCTTTGAGGAGAGCCTTCCAGATCAATGTGAGGTGTTCCATCTCATAACAAATGTACAGAGAAAGCAATGGGGGGTAGGGCAGTGGGACAGACCTGAGAAAATCTCCACCATTCCCATACCCAGGTGCAAAGGGGATTGGAGGGGAACACTCCAAAGCAGCCCTTTCCCCATTTTCCACCAGCCTGTGCCTGTGGGGAGGCAAAGAGAGATGGAACAAATGGCTCTGTCCTTGGAACCATTTCCATCAGCCCTGGCTGGGATGATCCAGCAACAGGAAATGAACCTGAGAAGAGAAAATGCTCCCACCAGGAGCCAGTGAAAATGGATTTTATTGCAGGAATTGGGCATCTCAAAGGGAAAAGGGTATTTGGTTATTGCAGGAATTTGGCATCCCAAAGGGAAAAGGGTATTTGGTTATTGCAGGAATTTGGCATCCCAAAGGGAAAAGGGTATTTGGTTATTGCAGGAATTGGGCATCCCAAAGGGAAAAGGGTATTTTGTTATTGCAGGAATTGGGCATCCCAATTCCTGGGAAAAACCAACTGTAGGATGAGCATCTGAATGGGTGAAACTGCCCCTCCTGGGAGGATTCCTGCTCCCATTAACCTCACCAGGAGGAGGAAATGGAAAGGCATCAAGGAGCACTCCCTGAGAGGGAGGGAAGAACAAATTTCCCTGCAGACAAGTTGCCTGTATGGGTCACCAGCGTGGAGCTAAAAGAGCACAGCACTCAAGGACACAGGAAAGTGGGAGAGGGGAAGTTCAACCCTTGAGTTCACAGGAAGGGAGAACACCAACTATCAAAATTTTACTTCCCTTAAGGCTGGTGAAAAAATCTCAGACATATCTGAAGTCAATATTTCAACTCCTTAGTGGGAGCTCACCCGGCTTCAAACCCCATGGAAGGCCCTGTGCTCAATTTTGATGAAGTAAAAATTTGTGTAAAAACTGCATTTCCAAAATTATTAAAGAAACAAGCTCTGCTAATTGGCAGCATTCTGCTCTGCAGTGCTAAATTCTGCTCACATTTGCAAGGGTATTAATGCAGCCCAATGCCTCGGGCTGCACCAGAATTCTTGGGTATTTATCTGCCTGGCAGGAGGAATATTTTTACTCCTAAGAGGAAACACTTTAGGGAGATATTTGGTAAAAAAAGTGGAATACTGAAGTGGCCTCACTGGCTCAGGCCAGTCCCTTAGTTTCCAGATAATAAGATCCCAGTAAAAAGATTCACAAATATCTCTAATTTTCCTTCTTTGGCACTTGCAACTGTTCAAGACAATTTAAAAAAACTAGAGGAATATAAACTAGAGGAATATAATTACAACAGATGTATAAAAAAGAGGACAAGGTGTGTTAAATATTCCTTACTGATATGACTAGTATCAATATTAAATATATTTCAATATTAACATCTGTTTTACTAAACACTCATTTTAGTACTAAATATTCCTTATTGATAGTATTCTTATAGGAACCACCCCTGTTTCTACAGAAGGATTTATGTGATTCTCATAGCAGATATTTGAATCTCTCAAAGTTCTGTATTAACACAAATTTGTGGGGTTTTGTGCTTGACTCCATGTTAGAAAAAATGCATTTTGCTAAAGTAGTTGGTGTTTAGACATTTGTATCTCACACACAACTGATGCTCATCTTGCTGGTATCTTTTAAGAATAAAACCTATAGGAAGCTGATTAAAGCATAGATCCAACAGAGTTTAAATTCCACCCTGATCCCTGGAGGTTTTTTCCCACCAAGACATAATTTCCAAGACCTCTTCAAAGACTGAAACAGAAGAACAGAAAGAAATTACAGTAATTGATGAAAACTCTTTTAAGTCAACAGCCTTAAAACATTCCCTTTTGTGCATGACCACACCAATGACTCCAGAGGAAATTCAGAGGCCTTTCTGGCATAACTTGGATATTTCCTATTTTTGTAGGCATCAGATAAGGACTTCCCAGTGCTTTTTACACTAACTTCAGCTAGATTTTTCTTTATTCCATTCATTAAATCTACCTTAAACCAATTAGCAAAGCACAGAGGCAATGCAGTGAGTACACTGAGAGCAGACTGTCCCTCTAAATGGACATGGGATTCTCTTAGTTTTGATTTTTTGGCTATTTCCAGAGTGCATTTGAGATAAGGAACATTCATTTGGCCTTTCCTTAACAGAAAAACACTTCCAGAGAGGAAAACTTTTCAGTGTTCCTTCAATAATGGTGCTCAGGGGAATGTTGCTATTGGTGAGACACGTTGGGTAATTAAATATTGGAAGTGTTAATTTGAAATGGGTGAGAGGCAGCTTGACTCAAGGCATGGAGTGTGCTTCAGGAATATTTGTCACAGATTGACAGCACGGGGTGGAGATAAAGCCTGAGGCTATAAACCCAAAGCTGAAGTTTCCATTTCTGAATCAATAATCAGTGCAAACCATCAGCCACAGCTCCTCCTCAGGCACGAGCTGAATGCAGAGTTTGGTGAAAATCCAAAGAGGGGGATGTGAGAATCCCCCAAACCTTCAACCTGGAAGGTTCTGCAGGAACCCCAGTGGGGCAGCTGAGCTGCTTGGGATGAGGAATGGGATCTGCAACTCGTGTTCTGAGCAACCCTGGGTGGGCACACCCCTGCTCTGACCTTGCCCTGAGCCAGCCCAAGCCCAGTGCCAGTCTGGACTGGCACATGCAGCACCCAGGACAGGGTCAGACACCCCCAAGGACTCCAGGGTGAAGGAAGAATGAACAAGGAGCTATTTAATGGCCCTCTCACCAGATGAGTTCAGAAAGTGCCCAGAAATCTCTGTCCTAAGAGCATCCCTGTTTTTATTGCCATGTGGAGCAGCTGGGTGCAGAACCAGTAACTCAGCTGAGCTGGCAGGAGCTGGAATGTTTCATTGGGGAGATCAGAGCCCAGCCCTGCCCAGTGCCCAGCTCAGAGCCCAGTGCCCAGCTCAGCTCACAGCCCAGCCCTACCCAGTGCCCAGCTCAGCTCACAGCCCAGCTCAGCTGAGCTCAGCCCAGCCTGCCCAGTGCCCAGCTCAGCTCAGAGCCCAGCTCAGCTCACAGCCCAGCCTGCCCAGTGCCCAGCTCAGCTCAGAGCCCTGTCCCATGTCATTCTGTGTGTGACAGAGCCCTGACCAGTGCAGGATGCATTCCAGGGGGATGATTACCACCCATTGTCTCACAAGAGCTGAGTTATTTTTCTTTCCCAGACTCATTCTCCCCCACTCTCACAACTCTCTTTTGTTTGTGTCTCAGCTTGCTGTGCTTGGCCTCTGGCCACAGCCCTGATTTCTGCCCTGGTGGAGGGTGTCAGCTTTGCCTTTGAAGGAGTTCCAAGGCTGCTGTTGGGCTGACCAGCAGGGAACAGCCCTGCCCAACCCTCCCTGGCCTCTCCCACATTGATTCCCTTCTTTCCCAGAAACCTGCAGTCTTGGAAAAGGCACAGGGAGGATTGATCACAGTTCCCAGAGGAGGTTTTTAAGCAACAGATGAACTTTAGGCACACAGAGTGAACACTGGAGCTGGAAGGGACATCAGAGAACATCCAGAGCATCCTCTTGTCCTAAGGCACATCCAGCTGTACCTGCACTGCTGGCAGATATCTGCCTCACTGGTTCTTACTGGATTCCAGTCACAGGCAGTTTAACTGGCAAATCTTACTTCAATTTAATCCTTTCAGTCCTAGTCTGAACACGGACATGGAGAACTCATTCCTCATATCCTTCAGTTTCAACAGGAACTTAAAATACATCCCTGCAAGCAGTGACAGCTCACTCTGCCCAGGGTGCCTGAAATTCCAGTGTCTACAGAACACTCTTGTGCTTGGCACAGTGCCTCTGCCAGCAGCAGAGCCCCTCTTCAGTTCTGACAGGGAATCAGGGAATTTCCTGAACTCACCAGGATCCCTGAGTGCAGCTGCTGGCCCTGCACCCACAGAAGTGACCACAGCTTCACTGCTTTTATTTCCCACATTTCTGATCTCTTTTTTCGGAAGATCTCCCTCTGGACACAGAACAGCCTTAATGCCACCGACCTGGCAGATTTCATTTTCTCACAAGCTGAAAGTGCTCCCCACTTGCAACAAGAAAGTTTGTGCAGAGTTAAAAACCTGCTCTGCACGAGACAAAGAGTTTGCAGAGAGCCTGAGAGGGCATTTCCTGCATTACTGAATTTCCTACCCACTCATCTCAGTCTTGGCTCATTTCCTACTGTGACTGATGCTCAGCTGGCAAGATGAGAGGAGGTGAAATGCTGATTTAACACTTGCAACACAGCTTGTTTGGTTCTGGATCGTTTTTTGGTGTTTTTTTTAATTACCCAGTTTCTTACAGCATTTTTGTCTCTCACACTGTTAACCTGGAAATAGCAAGGTGCAATAGTACACCTGCTCTGATAACATTTAATTTTTTCAGCTTGAGGAGGATAACTGCAACAAGATTTAACAGGTGTTGAAAAATCTTTTGTAACTTTTTTTGTCCCTTCCAATGTTCCTGAGGCACAAAATGAAGCCACAGCTGTCCCAGTGCAGCTTGCCAGTCTGAGGCTGGCACTTACCCAGTGGAGGGGTTCATGATGCAGCCCCCTTTCTCAGTGGAAGCTCTGCAGCTGCAGCCCCTCTCCAGGGTGTCGTGATTCATCCCAAAGTTGTGCCCCAGCTCGTGAGCCAGTGTCACTGCTGCACCCAGAGGGTTTTCTGAGTGATCCTTCAAAACAAAACCCACAGCAGAACCAGTCAGTGCAGCACACAAACCCAACCCAAGGCACACATTGCCCCTCCAAGGTCCCACTGCCTGTCCTTTGACATGTTTTATAAGTTTAGCAGCTGAGGTTACTCTGTTGTTAAATAAACTCAATTTTAAATTCATCCTTGTCTAGGGCAGAGTGGGAATTTCAGGACAGCCTTTCTGGCCATCCATCAGCCATTTGAAACCATTGAGCAGCTGTGAACATCTCTTTATTTGGGCTTAAAATTCTGCTGTTCCAGAAATCCCCCAAACCCCCAGGTGCCAGCAGTGGCAGAGAGAGCTCACCAGACATGGAGTGTTGGAAAGGGCAATAATTTATGGGTGAGGATGAGTGTGGTGAGGGACAAGTGAGAAGTCCTTCATGTCAGGAGGCAAATTAAAAATGCAGCAAGAGATTTTACTCAGTCTATTTAATTTGCTTCAGACTGTTTCTTTAATATCAGAATGCCCAAGATTTCACAATCCTTTTAAAAAAACCAAGGACCGTTAAAAATCTCCTTTTTAAAATGAAAGGCCAAAGCAAGCCAAAATCTTCCATGGCCTCTTATTAACCTATAAATACTCTAAATGTTGAAAGTGTCAGTTTGAAATTTTAACTCTAATCCATGTTTAAATGCTGATTGTTGGGACAATCATTTCTGAGGAATTCACTGCGTGATTTGATTACAGGCTGCTGATCAGAATGATGCTTTGGCTTAACCACAAGGAAGAGACCTTTCCACACTGATCATTTTCCTTGAGGGAAAAAATATCCACTACACTTGTAAGAAAGCTTTCCCTGAAGGCATAAACATGTAATATAAATGCATGATCCACTATTTATCAGTCAGTAAATGGAATTACTGTGTACAGCTGCCTGCTCTAGAAGCTGGCATGAATATATTCACTTTAAATAACTCCTTCAGCATCATCTGAGCCAAACTCCAGACTAAAAAGAAGTGAAGGTAAAACTGTCTAAAACATTATCTGTGTACTAATGGAGGCCTTAATACATGACTTGGGGTAGATTTAAGAGTTTCTTCTTTCATCTGTCTGAGCTAACGTTTTTAGTAAATCATTTCTCAAGCAGCAAACAAAATTAAGAAGAGAATACAGTCATTCTGAAAAAGCCAAAATGCTCCTTCTGTAATTGGAATCAACTCAAAAGAATTTTATCTGTTTGTAAAATGTCTCTTTAAAAAAAAACCAAAACAACAAAAACTGAATTTAAAAATCTTGATATAAAAATCTTGTGACAGGCAGTTTGTCCTGCACAACACTTAAATAATGAGATATCTTATCTAGATACTGCTCTAATACAGATGGGTCTATCTTTGTGCACACAGTAATTGATGGAATACTTAGAGAAGTCAGTGTAATTGAACCTGATGTCACAAAAAGAGCACAACCTCTCACTCAAATGGAAAAAAAATGCAGGGCTGAAGATGAAGAAAACAGCAAAATAATTCCATTTAATGTACCACTGACTCAGTGGATGATGCCTTGAAACTCAGGCTATCTGGTCAAGGCAGAGAGTCCTCACTGAGCTACAGACACCCAGCAAATTGAGCTCAGACTTTCTTTGTATTTCCAGTATCTCCCTCCTCCACTTACTGAGCAGTGATTATATTTCCCTGAATACTCTGAAGCTGTCAACTAAAACTAAAACCAAGGATTCACACAGTCCACTCCAGAAGTGGAGCAACAAATGATGTGAAATGTAATTTGGGACTTGAAAAGGCAAACAATTATTGCAGCCCATGCGGTTCTCATTACTTGCTCAGATCCACTTGGAATGCAATTTTATCAGCTTCTAGAGAGGGTTTGCAGAAGGAGGAATGTGATGCCTCAGCACAAGAGGTTATTTGAAGACAGCATAAGTGAAGATTATCAAAACAAACAGTGACATGTTCCATTTGATACTGAGACCGTTTAAGAATCACAAGGACTAAAGAAATGAATAGCAATGTGACTTTGATTTATTCCACCAGGGTCCTTCAAAGTTAACTTGAGCAGTAAAAGTCATTACCAAACACATTTCACAACCACTGAATAAGCAACCATCTACTGTTAAGGCATTATAAGCTGTTGCACAAAACATGCAGCTGCTTTCAGCTGAATTCTGCCTCATTCCACTGGGATTTCAATCAAACCCTAATCATTAAATGCTGTCACCTACAGCTCCACCAGGCAAATGCCCTGCTCTTGGTATTTTCAGTGTGCTCACTCTGTCCATGGAGTCACAGAATGGTTTGAATTGGAAGGGACCTCAAAAATCATCCAGTCCCAGCTCACTTTCCACTGTGCCAGGCTGCTCCAAGCCCTGTCCAGCACTGCCAGGGATGCAGGGGCAGCCCCAGCTGCTCTGGGCACCCTGTGCCAGGGCCTCACACCCTCACAGGGGACAATTTCCTCCTAATATCCCATCTAAATCTCTCCTCTGTAAGTTTAAACCCTTCTCCCTCGCCCCATCACTGTCTGCCTAGATAAAAAGTCACTTTCCTCTTCTCTCAGAAATATTTTACTTTTAAATCCATGAATTCAGTGGGCAACCTTTGGAAACAGAAGAATGAAGACTGAATCACGTCAAACACTTGCTTTAATGTCAACTTCTCTTTGGTTTTTCTGTGACACTACAGAAACTTCACAGGGAAATGAAATGATAAAGGTCTTGTTAAAGCTGCTCACACTCACATGGCTGCTCTCCCTGCTTTGAGTTCCTCTGAAAATTAATGGCAGACAGGGTGTCACCCACTGAGAGAGCTCAGCCCTATAGAAAAGAGACAGGCAGGCTCCCAGGGAGGCATGACAGAGGAATTTAGATCATAAAGTAGAGCTGACTAACTGCAGAAAGAAGCAGGAAAATCACATCAGACAAGAGTCACTCCAGATTTGGTATTCAAATGTCATTTCTGACGCAGTCTCTCATTGTCTTTTCTTCCAGAACAGGTTTTAGAGTGTGGGAGCTTTTGGTGTTGAGTGCTGGGGGTGGGATGGGTGAGAAATTGGCTGAATTAAGAGGTTGGCCAAATGTTCATTTGTGCAGTGTTGAGACACCTGAGCCCTGACCTTCCCAGGCTGAGAGTGATTCATTCTTTCAGAGAGCACAGAATCTTTTAGGGTGGAAAAGGCCTTTAACGTCACCGAGTCCAACCATGCCCAGCACTGCCCCGTGTCCCCAAGTGCCACCTCCACAGGGCTTTTAAATCCCTCCAGGAGTGGGGACTCCACTCCTTCCCTGGGCAGCTGTGCCAGGGTACAGGTACCAATATATATAAATGTGTTTTGTTTGTGCCTGAATCTGCCTTTGCTAACTCAGGGGATGGTTGGGCAGCTGCACTTTTGGGTTGTGGGGTGAGTGTTTGCTTCATTTGGATTTGGCTCCTTTTTGAGGATTTGTTTAAAGAGCTGGAGAACATTTCTGGTTATCCTGTGCAAGTTTCAAATTAATTTGCACCTCAAAAGCCTAAATTCAGTGAGTGTCTGGGTAACATCCTGCTCCCCTTTATCACAGAAGGTTCAGCCTGGCCCAGGACTCTTCCACAGAGCCTGGGTTTCTCCTGGACAGATAAATCAGTCCCCTCTCTAGGAGAATGCTCTAAAGAAATTGCTGATTCTTGTTTTCTTGTTACTGGAATGAACTATTAGTAATTATTTCTCTTTAAACTGACAGCTTCCAGAGCAAAGAGAACTGACTTGGCTGTAAATTACACTGTGGAGTGTTTTAAATCTTAAGCTAAAAATTAAAAGGACAAAAAGTCATCATTAAAGGCATCTCTGACTGCAGATAAAGCCAAAGCAGTGACTGCAGGGCTGAGTCAAAGGGGTAAAATGGGGCTTTCTGCCTCATCTGTGCCTTTACCAAGACTTGGGGGTGCATTGGGACACTCCTACAGCTCTTTCTTCCTTGTTTTCCTCCTTTTCCTTTTGTACCTCTCTCCCAGGTACCCAGTGAATAATTGTTACAGTCAGCAATTACAGACTCAGCTTCTCAAGCTATCAAGAGCCTGAAACCTTTGTCTTTTCTACAACTTTGACACAACTTTTCCCAAATTATGTGATTTGATTGTTCTAGTTTAAAGCTTCTTCCCTCCGTCTTAGCACAAAGCACAGCAAAACTGAAATTCAAAAAAAGAAAAAATCAGAAAGAAAGTACATCAGGACTCCTTCCAGAGACTGGATAAGATGTTTGCTTGTGTGTTCACCATGTCTTGCATCTAACAACAACAATAATGCCCTGGGAGAGACTCAGCTGGAATAAATGCTGCCATTGTTTGTTCTCTCTGTCTGGCAATGCAATAAAACCACTGCTGCAAAGATGGAAAATAAGGCCTAACACAGGAAACTCTATAAATACAGAATAAAATCAATATAATAAAAGATTCAGGATAGACTACTGCTGCCTGTAACACAAGTATACCCAAGTGTATAACAAATACATCTTCTGGTTCTCTTCTTCACAGCACCTCAGCACCTGGTTCAATAACAATTAGAAGAATAAACTCCTTGCAAAGAGGCCCTGCTATATTTTAATGCAATATTTTGGTTGTTTTCACTATGGAAACTGTCATTTACAAGCAATCTGAACAACAGAGAGATGGAAAATGGGACAAATGGGGCTGGTTCAGGAGGCAGGAGTGCAGGGCTGGTGTGGTGTCACCCCAGCTGGGCCAGTGAGAGTGGCTGAGAGCTTCCCCCACTTACCATGACGACCCCTCCAGACTGCTCTGCTGTGCACATGCTCATGATGGGAGCCATGCCAATGGTTGTCCCCTGGAAGTACACCCCGCTGCAGGAGGGGGAGAGGAGACACAGAGCCACCAGTCAGTGCCAGGACACCTCCCTGTCCTCTCCAGCTCTGGGTTTCTGCCAGGCTCCAACACAGACCCCGTTTCTGCCCCTCGCATTGGCAGCTCTAAAGCAATGGGAAGCCCAGGTGGGCTGTGCTGCCTCAGCTGAACTGAACCACAGAGCCCCAGCTCTGGGAATATCCATTGCATCACCCCCACTGAGTCACCCCCAATGGACCATCCTCACTGGATCACCCCCAATGGATCACCTCAAATGGATCATCCCCAATGGATCACCCCCATTGAGTCACCCCAAATGGATCATCCCCACTGGATCACCCTCACTGGATCACCCCCAATGGATCACCTCCAATGGATCACCCCCACTGAGTCACCCCCAATGGATCATCCCCAATAGATCACCCTCACTGGATCACCTCCAATGGATTATCCCCAATGGATCACTCTCATTGGACCACCCCCAGTGGACCACCCTCACTGGATCATCCCCATTGGATGATTCCCCAAATGGATCACCCCCACTGATCACTCCCATTGGATCCCCCCCATTGGATCCCCCCCCATTGGATCCCCCCCAATGGATCATCCCCATTGGATCACCCTCACTGGATCATCCCCAATAGATCATCACCACTTGATCACCCCCATTGGTCACCCCAAATGGATCAATCACTCTCATTGGGTCACCCCAAATGGATCACCCTCATTGGGTCATTCCCAATGGATCATCCCCACTGGATCCCCCCAATAGATCATCATCACTAGGTCACCCCCACTGGATCACCTCAATGGATCACCCCCACTGGATCACCCTCATTGAATCATCCTCCTCAGTTTTCACTGCTGCCACAGGACCCTTCTCCCCCTCCCCTGTCTCTGAGGTTGGGAACAGGAGCACAAGCACAGAGATGGAGCCTCTGACTCAAAGCAGGGTTATTGTAATGCAGGGGGAAGTTTATGTGCTGCTTGTGATGATGCACAGCCTTGAGTGTAATAATTTCAAACAAAGTGTTATTATACATATAGAGAAATCAAATATCTCAGGGGGGACAGTTTGGAAAGGCTCAATTTATTCTTATTCAGGTAATGTAAGAAGTAAATAACTCCTTTTAATTACTGAGACATCAGTTGTGTTTATCTGCTCAGTATAAAGAATAGTCAATTGATCAAAATAATATCTATTCAACAAAGAGGTGTTCCTCTTCCCTTTTTTTTTAAGAGTGCTTTTACTTTTACAGAACCATAGACTGGTTTGGTTGACAGGGACCTTTACTCAATTCCTTTATTCCAAGAAAAAGCAGCAGGGTAAAATATGTTTATGGTTTAATTTTTAAATCATGAATGCAAATGAATTGTTTAAATTAGACAGCATTTTAAAGCATACTGAGGCCATTTCATCAAGAAATAGGCTTCACTTAGGGTCAGAGCAGGACTGTCTTTTCCAGTGACAATTTAGACTGAGGGCAGTTTAAAGTGGTTGTAAATTCACACCCTGAGCATGCAGCAGCTGAGCACGCCCAATCCCCAGCTCTACACGAGTTATAGACAGGCTCAGGACAGGCTTTGAGCACCAGGGCTGGGAAAGGAAACTCACCTGGAGCACCTGCAGAGCGATTTTGGGTTTGATACTTGCAGGGGGGAAAGGCAAACCCTCAGGAGCACAGGTGTTCCTTCCAAGAGCTTAGCAGCTGGGGCAGAACTCAGCACAGCTATCCTGAAATCCCCAAGATCCCCCAGATGCTGGTGGTGGGTATCAAATGCAGAGCCAAGCCTACCTGATCAGCTGGGCATTGTCGTGGGCTTTCCGAGGGAGGAGCTTGAGCTTTCTCCAGTCCAGGAACTCGTGCAGGCTGGTGAAAGGGTCCTGGGAGATGGAGCACTTGTCCATGTCATTCCACACCTCCACTCCCACCAGGGCCACTCGGATGTTTAGGGGCCTGTAGAACTAAGGAGAAGAGAAAAGTAGGAAATATGTGTCTAAAAAATATTGCAGACTAGAATATTTCAACAAAAACCTAATAGTGAGCCTTTCTTGTGGAGGTTAAAACAGTTTCTTCTTCAGGGCAAAACACCTGACAGGACTCAGACAAAATATTTCCAAGACTCCCAGAAAACAAGTTCTGACCCAACCCAATACCCATAAGGCATTCAAAGAGATCCAGGGATTTCCTGCTTCTCCCTGAACTCCCTGCCCATGTCCTTCAGCTCTGAAGGAACCCCAGGCCATGGCAGATGAGTGTCCCAGGGTTGCCCCACCCTGGATTGCACAGATCCCATTCCTCAGGCAGAGGAACTGTGCTGTGGATCACAGTAACAGCTGAAAACCAGCCAGGCTCATCAAGCCTTGCACAGAGCAGATAAAACCCAGTAATTTTATCCATTCCCCCACTAGCAAATGCCATTTGGCCTCAAGGGGGGAGCCAGAGCAAGATCAGCAGAGCCATGGCAACAGTTCCAATGTGAGAGTAATGTAAGGAAGGAGTCAGGGATTGATCAAGTCCAGATTTGCCTGACAGGCTGACAAAACACCCAGTAGATCTTTGTCTTGTTTCTATGCATTCCAGTCATTTGTAGAACACCAGCGTTTGCTGAGCATAAATTAAGCATGAAACAAAAAATAGATTACAATATGCAAAATTAATTTTGAGCAGGTAACATGGAAACACCTGTCCTCTGGCAATAAGTCAGCAAGACAATTATGGATGAGGTGGAGGTGTCTTCAGCAGCTTGTTTTTAATCAGGAATGCTTCTCCTTGAGCTACTGCCCTTGAAGTATCACTTGATAAATTCTCAGATAAATTAAGACACTCTTCAGTTATAATTTCACTACTAGAGTCCTAATATTTTCTGGCCATTCAGCCTAACAAAAATAAACTCTAATTTGTTCAAAAACCACTCTAGAGGATTCTTAGCCTTTATTGTTTCCTGTCAAGGAATTATTTCAAGACCTAAAAAATCCAGTGTATATCCCTTTCTTACTGCTTCCACTCAGCCATCAAATCTGCTTCCTTATTTTTAATTCTGCCATCTTCCTTGGATTACACATCTTATTAACTGTGTTTTCATGGGACTTTGTTGGCCTTACAACTGGACCTTCCCTTGTTGCTACAAATGACTTTGTTCTCCAAATTTCTCTTAAAAATAATCCTCTTTTTTTTTCTATAGGCTGTTCTCTAGGTGATTATCCCCACCCTCTTCCCTGGTGAATAAAATCCTAGGGCTAAATTGGGCTTTTTCTTGGGAATAGATTTTACATCCCATATGCAGCAGAGCAGAGCTCATGGTTTTGTGTATCAAAAGGCAAATGAAAGGTTTAAATTTGCTTTTCCAGGAGCTTTGCTCTGAAATACTGGAGTACCAGCAAAGCTGCAGGGTTAGCTCCTTCAGCATCCTACAGAACATGTGGGAAGGTTGGGAAAAGGGAAACAATCCTCGTGTTCTTACCTTATCCACGTAGTTTGCAATTTCTATCAGCCTCTGCTTAATTTTATCCACATCTTTGCCTTGTCTCTGAAACTTGGAATGTAAAGGATCAATGGACCAGCAGCACAAATGTCACAGAGTTTCCCCCCACAAGAGCCAGCACATCAGGGATCTTTGGGAATTAGGGGGCAGCCAAAATCCACCAGCAGACTCCTGTTGGATCCACAGTCTGCCCCAAAAGAAACCCAGACTGTGGGACAGGATTTTGGTTGTCGTGAAAAGATTTTAAAATCTCCAAGTGTTACACAGGGGTCTTTTCAGGACTGATGTTTTGGGAAATAGTTCTTCTCTTAGCAAAGAGTGATTGCAGTTCTCTGAGTAGCAGTGTTCAAGGAGACCAGAAAAAAATTTTAAAAGGCAGCAAAATAATTCAAGCCAGGATTCAGATCTTTGCCATTCAGCTCACTGGAACATTTTTACAGCCAGTGCTGGTACTTTGAAGCTCCCTTTGCAACACCTCAGGAAGGCAGTCGTGCTCCATGGAATGTGATGGCCAAGCACTGCTCCAGAAACCCTGACAGCCCCACTGAGGGCACTGGGAATGGCAGTGAGGACTTAACTTGCTCAAGGAATGAATATTTATTTGCCTCTTCTTCCATACTGACACGGTTATTTCAGAGTCAAACTCCTTCTGAGGTATTGTAAGGAATTTCACACCTGAGTATCACTGCTGTCCTATCTTAATAACTCCTTCCTTGCTCAGCCCTAATTAGGGAGGATGGTTTACCTCAAAAAACATCATATTATTGTCATCATATTGTCTGAAGCACCTTGTTTGCAGCACCATGGTAACTGAGCTGAGCTGCCCCTTTGCTGCTCACACAAGTTTTTATTTTGCAGTTCCTTACCTCGCGATTATCCGCCACAATAACGAGCTCCACGTACTTCGTTGTCTTCAGAGTCTCCCTCTTGTACTGTCAAAAAACCATGAAAGTCTTATTTTGTTTTCAGCCCTGATACAACAAAGTGCTTGCAAGAGGAAATACACAGTGTCTCAGGTTTCCTACATTTTACTACGATTTTACTACACACAGATTTGTAGTGCCTTCCTCCTCCTCATGGAAGTTTTCCTTACAAAACCTCTCAGGGTTTGATCACAGAAAGCAGGAGATTGGTGTAAAGTCTCTCTCAACCTTTCAGCTTTCTGCAGTTGAAACATTTGAGTTATCTTTCCTCACAGGAGAATATCCCCTCCAGCAGAAAGACCTCTGCTTTTTCCAAGACACTTTTAAAGGAGAGATGAGGTAACTTCTAACAAACGTTTCACACGATAGACAAACTGGTTACTAAGAAAAATGAGAGAGAAAGGGATATTGAGTGAAGCAGAGAAGAGGTCAAGCAGTCAACTGATAAATTATGTAGGAAGAAAAACCCAAAAATAAAAAAAAAGCAGAACCAACTGTTGGTGTCTGGGGAAGCAAATTAATACTTGAAAAATGGAAGGCACCCATTTAATTCTGTATCTGCAAATTCATATAAAATGCAGGTCTAAAAGAATCATAACGCTTTACTGAAAAAACAAAATCAGTGAAGAAATGATTTTGTAAGAGTACAAACCATGTCACAGCTCCTTTGTTACCCTAAATTTCAGTGACCTATTAGTGCCTGTAGAAGTTCTGTGATTTACAGCAGCAGCAGCAGCATCTATCCTATCATTCCTTCCTTGTGTCTGGACCAGGACATTTAGGGAAAAGAGGTCTCAGCAGAGTATCTGATCTTCCTGCCAGAACTTAGAAGGCTTAAACAGATGTCTGACCTACAACTGACCATGATGTCTTGAGCTGCAGCAAAGCTCTTTAACCTAAAACATGACTAAAGCTTTCCAAGGAAAACTGCTCCAAGGCAAACTGAGAGATCCCCTAAGCACAGCCAGAGCTGGACATCTCCTTCCAGCCAGATTTCACAAAGTTTTCTTCACATTATCAAACTGTTCCTCTTCACTCTCTGCAGATTGATGATTTGATGTTTTGCAAGAATTAGAGGAAAAGTGAGTGATGCAATCTTTAGTATCTGACTTTCAACCTAATATTTAATAGTGCTGCAAACTCCAATAAGTTGAAAAAAAAGTTTAATTTGGACCATATTTATGGATGGAGAGAGGAGTAAAAGCTGCTGTTAATGAACTAAACATCAAGGATGCAAACACTTGACAGGATTACACTTTTTAGGGGCTCTGGCAAATGAGCTGAGGTAGATTCTTTTAAAACTTCTGGCACTGGGGTGTGATGCCACTCAGACACCAGTGAGGTGCCACAAAAGGTAAATGGCCATGTGGCTGCTGTTTGTGATGGAATTGATCTCTCAGACACTGAAACTCTCCCATCCTGAAATTTATGATGAGGTCCTAAAGAGATGCATCTCCAAGGAGCCTCTCATCCTCCTCCGAGAGAAGAAGAAAAGATGATACAGGAAAATCTGAGTTCAAAGGAGCAAGGAGAGCTCTGTTACATCAGTCAATTTAAAACATTTCCCTCTCACCAAGAGTAAAACTGTTTGGACTGGAGTGAGCTGCAGAGAAATTGGCTAGCAGGCATAAAAATCACATCAGCCTCTGGTGACTGACTTGCATAACAAATCTGTTCCTGAGATTTGCCCAAAGGCTATGTGAACTCCTAGGATACAATATTTATTTATGAAATATACCTAATTATGGCTTCTTTCAGCTTGCTCTCTGCAGCCAGCTGCATCACTGCACAGCCCCTTTGCTGGGTTAATCCTTCAGAACTGAAATGAGGAGCCAATGACACAGCCATGAGAGCTGGGGGACAATGGGCTTTGTTCCTCTGACCATGGTCTCTCTCCTCTGCTTCTTCCCCACCTGATCCCATCCCAAACCTGCTGCCCCACCCCTTCCTCAGCCTTCCCTGCCTGGCAATTGGCATGGCTTGGGTGGACACTGCAGTGGTGCAGCCTCTCTTTCCTCATGATCTAAAAAATCCCCTGCCTGCTCCTGGTCACCACCATCACCAAAATGGCTTTTTTTCCTTGTGGCTACAGAGAAAATTCCCTTCTGCAGGGAGTGTCCTACACACCAGACATTCTGCAGGGTCCTGGCTCAATGGAGCTCAGCTGGAAAATGCTCCTTGGTGCAATTTGAGGGTCCAGTGAGTCAGGAAATGACCCAGCACTCACAGAGACCCCGCTCCAGCAGGGCACGGGCTGTCAGTGGCAGCCTCTGCATCTCCTGCTCTGCTCCACTGCAGCTCCTCTTTGGGTCTGGGGAGCTGAGGCTGCTGCCTGTGCCATCCTTCACCTGTGCTTGCATCTAACCAAAGCCCTTGGTGATGCACTGATCTCACTTTTCAGCTCTGCTCAATAAGAATTTTGTGTAGGTGGTTGAGTGGAGAGTCAGCAGATAAAACCACACAAAAATCTTCCCCCAGACCTGTCAAGAAACCAAATATTTTAATCATCCCCATGAACCTTAGACCAGATTTCTGCTTAATTCTGTCACCCAGGTGACTTGGAGCAGCTTTATGTCTCCCCACTTTGCAGGTCATCTTTATTTGATGTGCCCACTGACAGACTGCTTAGTGACAACACTGAAATATGAAAACTCACTGCACACATGACATTTGACAGCTTTCAAAATTCCTACATTAGAAGCTTAACCAACTTACTCATTAAATATATTGTACCTATCCATATGATGTGACTGCTGACAGGTTTTATAATTATGTCCAGTGAACCACAGCAGAAATATTTTTCAGATATTTAAAGTGAAATTTGAGATGTAGTTGAAGCCAGCAGCAAAACGGAAGAACCATAAGGGTAATAATAAAATGGCTTTGGTTGTGTCAGTTTGCTACATGCACACATTTTACTTCTGCTTTACACTGACTACTTCAGTGGAATTCAAAGTCACAAAGAATTTGGGGAAAACTTAATAAAGTTGTATTTCCAATGTTTTCCACCCACACACATGCTTTTAGAAATACACTTAATTCTTATAAAGTTACACGCAAAGGCTAATGCTCCGGATGTATTATTCCTAAAAATGTAAAATAAATTAATTCCATTGCATAATTCTATCTAGAGATGTCACTTAGGTTGCTTTCCTTAACAATGGACCTGAGGCAAAGCCTGAGTCATACATGCAAGTACAAATCCCCATATGTGACATTCAATAAATGCTGATGGCAGATTTGTATCATTCTATAATTCCTAACCCAGCCTTTTCTACAACCCTTGTCCAATATGCAGAGGAATTTGTTACAGCATTTCCTCTTCCTAGTTTTTGGCTCATTTAATTTTCTAATTTCCATTAGCTAGATGAATCTCACATGAAGTACATTTCTGCCAACATCACAGCAACTCCAATAATACAGCTGTAAAATAATATGCTGAGAATTTGTTTTGTCTGCATAAGAGACTTTGCTACTAAAATACAGAGGTTCCAAACCTGGTATTAGCAAAGTATCCCAGCTATCATGTTCTCTTTCATCTTGGGAGGGCAAGAACTTTTCCAGACATCGCTCAGTATTCTCAGGGAGCCTCAAATTCTGGTTCTAACCATACAAGAACCAGAATATACAACCATAATATGAACCCATAAACTTTTCTGTGTTGAAAAGGAAGTGAAAAGCAAGCTATGCATGGAGAGTCCAGGAAAAGTAATGAAGCTTTAAGAAATAATTTCATCTGCACTTCAGCAGACGGCACCGAGGGAAGGCGGTGGTGTGGGTTAAGGTTTTGCTCAGTGGAGACCCTTGTGGTAGGCAGCAATATGGAAATGCTGCCAAGCAGACACAGAAAAGCACATGAGCCACCTACCCTGGCAGCTGGAGGATGCTGTGATGTGGCAGTGGCAGCAGCCCCCATGGCAGGGATGTGCAGCTGGTGGCCACAGGAGCCCGGGGCTGCTCTCAGGTTCTCCGCTCGGTAGATCTTGTGTTCCCTTGTAGCACCTTCCAATGGCTCCAGAATGTAGCTTTTGTTTCCAAACACAATAATTCCCCTGGGACACAGGAGAGCAGAGTGAGACACGTGGTTTTCAGGAGCTTGTCTACACCAGAGTTACACCAAGTTTAATAATGATGGAGTATGAGAAAGCAAAACACTGATTTACAGTGTCACAGGCGAGCGGAGCAGGAAACATCAAAGCTGTACATTTGTCATTGCAGCACACACTATACTTTAAAAGAACCAATGGCTCACAGAAATCTGTCTCTTCTGAAGTGCTGCACTGCAGAGCAAAATGATATTTGTGCTTTATTTGTTTTCCATTCTCCCAGTGATGCATTGCCGATGCCGCCGGAGCCGCGGCAAACGAAAGAAAAAGAGAAAGACTTTGGGAAGGAGGTACAGTGGGAAAACATCCATTCCAGTCTGCAGCTCCATTAGAGCTGCTAAAGCAAACCCTGCCAGATCAAAGAGGCCTCGTGGTGTCAGCATGGATTATTAAATATTGCACAGCAGGGCAGCAGAGGGGAGCTCAGACACGGGAGGAGTGCGTTCCTGTTTCGCTCATTTTACTGCCCAAAAGAATAATTTCAACAGCAATGCCACCTGCTCCCTGAGGAACTCACAGATCTGGCACTGAAAGCTCTCTTGCTGAGCTCTTTAAGCTACAGCCTGTAAGAGGAAAGGAAGAGGGTCCTTGTGCTGGGTCCTGCCCAGATGCCACAGCAAAGCAAGGGTGACAAAAGGGTGAATATGTGACAGGCTGGGAGAGCTGGGGGGGCTCACCTGGACAGGAGCAGCTCCAGGGAGAGCTCAGAGCCCCTGGCAGGGCCTAAAGGGGCTCCAGGAGAGCTGCAGAGGGACTGGGGACAAGGAATGGAGCAACTTTATTATCTTAGTGTACCTTTTTGGAGTTTTAGAAGTGTCTGCCCCTTTTATTTCTGTCTCTGCTGTGATAAAGGTAAAATACAACAGCCATTGTGAGGCCAGTGTTGCTGTACAATTTTCCAGAAAGTTACAAAAAAGAAGGATAAAACAGGAGAAAAAGGACCCAAAAGCAGGTTAATGATACTATGAAGATCGATTTAAAAGTAAAATGATAATTATTTGGAAAAGGTACCTTAGTTATCCTATTATTAGGAAGATATGATGAAGAAACTCAAAGTCTTTGGTCTGCTAACAAATGAACTGAAGTATTAATTCCAAGCTGGCTGCACAGTTTTGCTTCAGAGCACCACTAACACCAAGCCAACAGACATTTTCCTGGGGACTGGAACAGCTAAAAGTCCAAGAGAAAAAAGCAGCCTGGAAAGGCAGGATATCAAAATCTGTCCAACAGCAATCCCAGAGGCCTGTTTTACTGCCCTGAACCAAGGCTCAGGCTCTGATAATTCATCTGCAGCTCCCTCAGCCCCCTTGGCAGAGCAGGTGAGACACGTCCAGGCATCCCCCAGCAGCTGGGAGTGATGGGTCAGGGCTGGGAGGGCTGGGCTGATTTATCCCAGCCAGGATCCCAAGAGCCCTCCTGACATATGGGACACCTCGGGCAGGTCACCCCCGGATTTCAGTAACCTCAGGCTCTGAATTATTGTCAGGGCTGCCTCACTCCTTGGAGGATTGAGGAAATGGGGACAAAATATTCACTTTACTCCAAAAACCAGCAGCCCTGTAATCAGCACAATCAAATAAGGGTTGTTGTCCTGGCCCTGTGCAATTAATAATTTAATTTTGGAGGCAGGAGTCCATTAGTCACTGTTTGAAATGGGCCAGCCTGACCAGCTCCCTGTGCTGACAGCTCAGAAACAACAGAAAAGCATGCAGGGGTTTATTTTTAATGCTAAATTTGCCCTTCTTAGAATGTTCACTTTCAAAATTAGAAGCTTGATCAATTTTCTTTAATTACTTACACTACAAAGGGAGAGATCTAGTTGTATCCTAAGTTGAGTTCTCTCAATTAAATTTTTTTTAAAAAATATTTTAAAGTGAGCATCTTGTTTTCAGGAGTTCATATCCAAAATGTGCCACATCAATGCCACATTGCCAATGTGTCCCTCATGTACCCAACCTCTGTCTAAAAGAACCAAATGACCATTTCTTTAAAAAGACCTACATAACCATTTCTTTACCCCTCATGTACCCAACCTCTGTCTAAAAGAACTAAATAACCATTTCTTTAAAAAGACCTACATAACCATTTCTTTACCCCTCTTTTCCTTTAGCTGCTGAGGGCATGGACAAGTGATCAGATCCCAGAATGATTAATCTGGGTTTTTCCTGAGCACACCATCTGATTCCCATCTCAAGGGAAGCATGGGCTTTTAAGGACCAGTTTCCCTTTGCCTATGGAGCAATCCCAGGAGAAGGAAAATCTGCAGATTTGGCAGAAAGAAAACCAGACTTTTCATTTAAAGCACACTTATCCCTTGAGTGCTGCCTACAGGATATCAGCACTTGGCTTGTGACCATCTGTAATAAGATAATGAATATCAAATATGAATTTTCTTGGCCAGCTCTCTGGTTTTGACTAATTTTCTTTTCCTACAATTGCATTTTTCCCCCATCGTGCAGTGCCAAGCACAGCACCTTAAAAATGTAACGAGTCAAGAGTTATGGTTCCCTTCTTTTTTATTTTTTGTGTGTGTGAACAATACCCACCAGTCATTCAGAGTCTGAGGCAAATAAAATAAATCTCTAGCTACTGGTTCCTTCCACTCTCCTCAGGTGTCTCCAAGAGGCTTCTGTTACTCCTCCAACATTTCTGTGTCTCCCCCTGCAGCTGGGATCTCCCACACTCCTGAGTCAGCCCATGTTCCCACAAACTTTTCTATTTTTCAGCAGCCATTAATGCTAAACAATCTTGTGTTTTCCACTGATTAATAAAGTATTAATGTGGCAAATGGCACATTAAACTACAGATCCCCAGTCAAAAATTGCACAAAGAACCCCAAAGAGATTTCAGCAAGTCCTTAAGACCAGTCTGTGGGATTTCTATCAGACAAAGGACTACTAGAATTCCCAGGATTATAAACGTTGGAGGGGGGAAAAAAGCAATATGAGCTATTCAAATTTTAGTGTCAGGTGTCTAATTCTGGGTTTTCCTCAGTCCCAAGCCTTCAGATGCTGGGATGTCAGACAGTTTTACAAAAGAGGCAGGCAGGAAAGCCAAGAGACAACCCCAACCTACCTGAAATTCTCCCCCTGTCTCCTCCATCCCTGGTAGCAGAGAGGGAGGGAAAATATCCATCCCAAGGGCACGTCCAGACAGCAGCTCCCAGGCTCCAGGCCAACTGGAAGCAGCTCCAGTGTGGTCCTGAGCCTGGCCTAAATTTGACTCCAGCTCTGCACAGGGTTTGGTCCCTGCTCATGCCTGGGGCCAGCAGCAGCCCAAGCACCTCCAGATCCCTGCTGAGCCCCTGGAGATGGGAAACCCACGGGGCTCTGCCTCCTGTCCTCCCCTCTGAGCCCTGGGGACACCTGGGAATGTCTGTGTGAGATGGGAGAGCTCTCCCTGCCTCAAACAGAAATTAAAACTCACACAATTCCACATTGCCAGGAGTCGCTCAATCAGGGAAAGGCAATTTCATGGAATAATTCCACTTTTTAAACTGTCGATAAAATCAAATAGAAATTCTTTTTTTCCCCTCTTAAAAAGGAAAACCAAAACAAAACCTAAAGCGAGGCCAGTCGTATTTCATAAATCAACAGGCTTTAGGAAATCTCAAAATATAAATGGGATTTTTCTTTTCCAACTTGTCAGCAGAAGCAAAGGTCCTGCCAACATAAACCATCAACACATACTTGTCTGAGAAATTGTGATGCTGAAGCAAAACTTGGCTGGGACAGCACTATATGAAACTATTATATATTATTCTGCTGCACTATACAGGGGAAATTAAGTAAATTGATAAACCTGAGATCTGTGAGTGCAATTAAACATTTGGTTTTAATGAAGCTCAAAGTTATTTCTCAACAATAAAAATAAAAAGCTCTATTTCCACTGGCAGAGGAATGTAGATGTCCTGAGTTGGTGAGAAATTAATTAGAGGGCAGTTCCTGCTCACACACTGAATATTCATTTAAAGTCTGTGCCTGCCCACAGACACTGCAGGGCTCCTGTGCCACCTGAAAACCTCCAGGTCCCTCATTGCACAACCAATGTCACAGCTCCCCAGGGACAGGGGCTGATCCCACAGCTCTTCCCTGGATTTCAAGGAGTTTTGGGTGAAAAGGTTCCAGAATTGGAGCCCTGTGAGCCCGGAGTGCAGGGCTGCTCAACAGGGGTGATCTGTGCACTCAGAGGGCATTTTTATTTATTTTTATTGTACATTCTGCATTCCCAGGGCTCTGCATAACAAATTCCCAGGCAAGTAAGCAGGCAAACAAACAAAAGGGAAAGAAAAATGAGGTGGTGAATGAGGGCTTCACTTTTAGGCTGTTTTAATAAGTTGCAGATGGATACTGTGGGGATAAATGAGCAGGATGATCTATTGACTGTTTTTCTAATAGAGCTGATATTTAGATATTTTTCAAATGGTTTGGTCATTCTTTAGCTTTAAGAGACTGGGAAATGCAGAGAACAGGAGTCTGAAAGCAGATGTGCTCCTGTCTCTGCCTCTGGTCACCTCTTTTTGCAACAACTCCTCACCTCTAAAACAGAGAAAATTTTAGTATCCACAGAAAAAAAAAAAATCATCTATTGATGAAGAGCACAATAGGAAAGAAAAACAATCCCATTATCCTAGTACACTGCACAGGAGGATTCTATTAAAATAACAAATCTGACCCAAATCAGCCAAGGGCAGCCTCTCCAAGGGGGTGGAAGCAGTAGCACCACAGGTTCTGCATCTCACAGGAGTGGTGGAGGTGTTCCCACACAGACACATCATCACTCACAGAGCTCCCACTCCAGCCAGTGCCTTTCATGGACCTGAAAATATATTCTCTAAAATGGAATTATGGCCAGAGCCTCCTGCAGCACACACTTCATCCTTTCTCAGTGCAGGACAGATCTGTCCAGGGTGGGTGCAGATCGAGCTGCAGCTCTGATTCCTGGAA